TGTCTCATGCAATCCAAAATCGATGACAGCAGAGAGAGAACCAAAAAAAAAAAGGATGACAGGGTGCCCATCCTTTCGATAATTAAATGAAAAATTATTTAATTAAAATAAAGTAAAGCTAAGAAGCATAAATGATACACAAGGAATTAAATGTTTCCTTATTTTAATGTTAAATGTAATCAAAGCAGGAAAATTGAATGAAATGTATAAATAATATTGGAAATCTCTATAGAAAGGACAGTTCTCTCTTGTGCGGACAAGCTGTCCGCATACTTTAAGTATGTTAATACTGCTAGATAAAACCAACTTTCTTTACAATTTAGTGTGTAATATATTTAAAAACAATTAAATAAATGCTTAAAAACATATTTCTATATTTCTTTATTTATTGAAAATAAGAAAAACAGCAGCTCTTTTCAGGCTGCGGACACAGGATAAAAAGTCTGCTTGATTCAGCGAAAATCTCTGTTTTTCTGGACTGAAAATCGATGGCTCAAGTGAAAGCTGTTCCCATAATCCCATTAATTGCCCAACGTTATCGATGTGCAATATTATATATATTTTATATATATATGAAACCCTGTATAGCAGATGCCTCGGACGTTGACAAATCTACAGTTTACACTTTACACTGCACTTTATCACCGCTTTAATTTCCCTTAATATGTTTAAACTTTCAATTAATTTCAACTGCAGCTAACAGCTTGATAAGGACATAAGGATGTCCGTCTATATATGTATATACAAAGTAAATACATAGTATATATATTTCTATATATAGAATAGAGACACTCGCAAGCAGAGGTAAATGTATTTTGGCCCAGTTTGGGGCGAATGCTTTTCACCTGGCCAAAAGCGGACGCAGCCAACAAAAGCTGCGGACATTTCAATTTCAATGCAAAATAAGCTTCAGTCACCGTTGATGAGGAAAGGGGGGAAATGGTTAAGGAAAATGGGTGAGAAGAGCGATGGTAAAAACCAGAGGACACTGAGATAAAAATATGAATATAAATAAAGAATTTATAGATGTACAAAATCAAGAAAAAAAAGTACTTTATGGATAAACAAAATCAAATAAAAATCAAGACAGTGTTTTATATATACTTTCTCCCAACTAACCCTTTTCACCCTTTTATTATTTTATATATAAATTATGCAATATAAATATATATTCTTCAAGTACTACATTTTCCTTTGAATAATTTCTATAAAACAAAGTCACTTTTAGCTCACTATAACCATTTAAAAATGCAGAATATTAACACTTATTTAACCTCAAGGATACAGATTCTATGAATTATTTGAATGCAATTTTATCTTTCTTTCTACAATTGTAAAGTGCCTACGAAATGGCTTTTTCCCTTTTTATTCAGGAAATTGAAAACATTTCCATTTAAAAATAGACATTTTTCCCTGGTGTGTGAATGGAGGATCTGAGTTGGCGTTAAATATTACAACCACGTCGATGGTTTCGTCAACTTCAAACATTTCGCAACATAAATATTACACACACTTACACACACGCAGTGCGAAAGAGAGAGGTAAATGTGGCATAGAAAGAGAGAGGTGTATAGTATGCACATGGCCATAGAGAGAGGCTTATAAAGTATTCATATGAACATGTTGGACCCAAATGCCTTTGAAGGGCAACAAAGAGCCCCGACTACTGCCCAAGCCAAATGGAAACAGTGTCGTGCACATTTCTATAAATTCAAGGGGGGTAGAAAGGCGGGACAGGGGCGGAGAAGAGGCGGAGAAAGGCGTAGAAGAGGCGTAGAAGGGTTGTAGAAAAAGGGGGCAGTGAAAGCCCCCTGGGCTGTGGGTAGATATTTATGCAAATTTCCAAATGTTCAACTGTTGCTCACCAAAAGAAGAAAGGAAGCAGGAAATGGCAGGGGGGATGGGTAAGGGGGGAAGTCCTTTTCTAGGTAAAAATGGCAAAACAACAATATGGGGGGGGGGTTTTTTTTGTTGCTACTGCCACGCCCATCCAAGCCGAAGGAGCAACCCTTTTATGTTCGCTTCTCTGACCTTCGCCACATATTTATGCATGCACACAAAAAGGATATAGAAATATATAAATAAAACAGCACATCAAACTGTTGAATAAAATCATAAATAGGGTGGGATACTTTTGGTGTTTTCCGCTGTGTTTTTTTTTTTATTATTTGGGGGTGCAAATAATACACATAAAGTGTAGGTTTGCCCATATATCATTTTGAAGAAATGGGAATCGATCTGTTCTAAGTTTTATGTTTATGAAAAACAGTTCTAAAGCTAATTAAATTCTACACAACTTCTTGATTGATATGAATTTAAAGAATATTTGAGAACTAGCGTAGGTCAATAGGGTTTTTAATAACCCTAAATAAACCTTAAATAACCCTAAATAAACCTCAAATAACCCTAAATAAACCTAAAATAAACCTAAACCCCTTTAATAAACCTAAAAAGTTCTCAAAAATTAGACTACATAATTTTATGTAGTGAAAAGAAACAAAGTAACTTTGAATTTGGTTCCCAATATATAGTTTATTTATTTATTTCTCTATAAAAAGCTACCAATTGGTGAAAATTAAAAGCTATATTTAGATACCTTTTCAAGAGTGTTTTTCTTAAATTTAAATTTTTAATACTAAAATCTTTCATCCTTTATATTTAATCATACTTTCTTTACATTTAATGTACTTCCTTAAGTTCCTTTTTATTTATTAACCTAACTGCATATTAAAATTAGCTACTCTTTCAACCCAAGGACCCTTATTGTGTCCTAATAGATTTCCAACAAAAGTCCTTGCTTTACCAAATTCGCTTTAAGCCCTTGAAATCCACCACTTAAGTATATGAACAATTTGAAATTCATTTTGAGAGGCAATAAAATAATTCATAAGTTTCAGTAAAGGCGGAAACCACGACTTAGAGAGTACGAGAAGTGCAAGGTAAAGGACAAAAAGGAAACGAAAGAGGAAAACCTGGGGGAGAAAATTGCAAAGGACAGAAAGGGCAAAAGAGTTGAAACATAAATTTTACGAAAAGAAAACAAAAAAAGTATACTTGGCGAAAGTAATCCGGCTGAATCCCAAAATCATCGCACAGTTAGCGAGCACTTTCCAACACCGGCTGCATGCATTTACAGTTACACACATGCACATGCACATGCATGCACATACATGCCCCCCTTTGGCACTTGAGTGCACTTAAGCCCTGCCCAACCCCTGCCTGACCTCTCATATGTTGATGCTGCAACAAAAGAACCAAAACAAAAAGAAAAAACTAAAAATATAATAAAATAAAAATATTATTATTATCCTTTCATTTTCAAGTGCTTTCCATTGTGAGTGTGTGTGTGTATGAGTGTAAATTTATGATGCCCCACGGAAAGCAGCAGCAAAACGAAGAAAGGACGCAGGATCCTAGAGCTGAATCCTACTAGAGCACATTAGTTGGCAAATTGGGGAACTAGTTCAATTAATCCGGTCGAGTAAAGTTCTCCCATCGAGTCCTGGAGAGCAATTGAAAAGTTTAACTCTGAACATAAAACTTTGGGCACTGAGAAATAAAAAGGAGAATGGGACTATGGATATGTGCCCATTAAAAAGATGCTCTATAGCAATGTAGATAAATATTCATGACTCTTGATAACTCCTGGAACTTTGCAAATTTTAGTAAAACTCCTGCAAAGTTTCAATAATTTAATTTAGCACTGGAAAAAAAATAATTACTCGAGGTTCTATTATAGAAATTTTACCTAGAAACACGGTCCCACACCCCATTTAAGCTCAAGTTAACTTGGGTTTTTCTTTCCTAATTAATCAAAATCCATTGATTATCCATTCAATCAAATCATTTAAATTAGAAATTGCAAAAATAAGCAAACCTAACCTGCTTTTCTTTTATATTACTCACGTTTTTAATCCTAAACATGAAAAACACCCTTATTTATATCGAATTTTCTACATCAATGCTTGAGTATATAGCATCTGGTGGTACTTCAATCAAATTGCTGTACTTATTTTTGTTTTTTTCTCTGGCAACCATCTTGCAATCTACACAGCTTCCGTGTGTGCTCCTCATCCGGCGGAAGTGCATTTTGCATTACGCTTCCTTCGATGCCACAAACACACATCAAAAAAAGAAAGTTGAGAAAAAGTCGAAAATGGATTCGACTGAGAGTTCGATGTGGGCGTTATATATATATATATATATATATATATATATTCCCCTTTTCTGGGGGGCGTGTCACTGCAGTGACTTGTATTTGCATGCAACATGGAAATGGAAATCGAGGAAAATGGGAAATGGGAAACCACGACTGCAGAGCACGGAGCAACAAGCTGCATGTGTGTAAATCCATTTATGCTCCAGCGCATTTATAGCCAATTTAAAAGCCCAGGGAACTGGGTAATGATAGTTGCCCACCGTCAGCCAAACCCTTTTGGATATATCATTCACAGGACGCTTCACACAAAAAACAAAAAAGGAATGAAGGGAAATAAAACAAGAAATGTAGGTGGACAAGGGGGTAGTATAGTGGCCGGCGTTGATTTGTGGCAAATGACTCCTCCACTCTCCTCAACCCATGTCCTGGCCATGTCCTGGGGCATTCCATTTGCATTGCGGGCCATTTAATTGCGCAGTTGGCGCATGTTTTACGACCAATATGCATAACATGGCATCCACATTCGACAGGAGTAGGAGGAGGAAAAGCAGGCGAAGAAGGAAAAAAGCTTTGCATACTTTCCTGCGCATATCCTTGTTGCCACAGCCCGATTCTGTGGCATAACTATGCAGAATTACGCTTATTGCGACCCAAAAAAGGAAGTCTCAAAACAAAACAAGGATGTGATTGCACCACACTTATCACTAGTTTCCATTTCCGCTTGTTGCACTGCACTTTAGGACAAAGCATGTGATGTCCTTTTTAGTTAGTTATTACCCCAATTTAGATATATATATTTAAATTGATAGATAGATAGTTATATAGATTATTTTGTACTCACTGGTTGAGGTTGCGCTCATTGGAACCGGACTGACTCTGAACATTGTCCGTGTGGCGTCGCTCCTTGTGTACGATCCCCATCAGCTTCATCCATGGATTGTTCTGGGAGCCATGGCCTCCCATGCCGCCACTCTGCCACATTGTCATCTTGGCGGTTGTTTGAATTAAAAGTGTGACGTTGAATTTGAACTCGAAACCGAAGCGGAAGCGGTTGCGGTAGCGGAAACGGAAGCGAGACCGGAAACGGAAACGGTTAAGCGCACTCGCGACGCGTAGAAGGAGAAACCTAGAGTTATCTGTTTAGTTTAGGTTATAGGATGGGTTTTTTACAGATCTGAGCTGTCGTTGTTTCTGATCTTTTTTAGCCGCATCAATGGTTTCCTTAACTCTTCCCTTTTTTAGCACCGCTTCACATTTGGTTTTTCTTCTTACTTTCTTTTGGATGGAATTGAACTAAGAGTTTTGCGGCTAATAATCTTTCTAATAATCCTTTTTTTTATGGGCGGCTAATGTTGCTTTTGGTTTTGCGATATCCTTAGCTCTTGGTCGATTTTTGGCTGTATTCAGTGTTTCCTTTTTGGCCAAGCAACGATATTCTTTGCGGTTTGGTTTCTTGGCCTAATGTCTAAAATTAATAATCACAATGGGCGTACAACTTATCCTTTTTCTTCCAAGCTTTCTTATTTTTGGGGTGTTGCGTTTTGTTAACCAATTTTTAATGCTAATTATTGTTGGGTCTCTGCGTTTGCTTGGTATTCTCTTGTTGTTGTTGTTTTCTTTTATTTATTTGCTCTAAATTTATATTTGGTTTCTTTTGTTGTTAAATTTTGTTGTATGCAAAAAATTCCTCTTCTTGTATATTTTGTCTTCTAGCTAAATTTTGCTGGCCAAAAACGATTTGCGTCAAATTGATTTTTTATTTATCTTTTTTTTTGGCCGATTAATGGTTCCGATTGCGATTACCGTTCATGCGATAGTCGATAGTCGATAGTCGATGAGTACGACTATTTTCGATATTTTTGGGAACCCGTGATTTGAAAGTAATTTGGAATTATTATTACATAATCATTTTTTATATGAACGAATAAATCGGACGAAGAGTTTGTGTTTTTTGGAAAAAAGCCTAATTATCATCTCATTATATTTAATATAATGTTTAATTGAATTTTTTTTTATATGTATTATTACTTATGGTGATCCGGGTATTCGCAATTATTTTTGTACAAATTTATTTACAATTATAATCGTAGGTATGTACAACATTTGTTCCAATTACAACTTTTACTTGTTATTTGCTTTTTAATGATTGCTTTTGGGTTGACTTTTTCTTGTTGTTGTTGTTGTAATTTTTGTTGTTGTTGATATAGTGCATAGGGCAGGAAGGCGATTAAACGACGATATGAGAATTTACGTTCACAGAAATAGCTGGAAAAATAAGAAAAATACAAAATTATTAAAGATATATATATTTTTTGATGGTAGGTATTTTTATTATAATTAAAATTATCAGTTTATATAGGAGAACTTTCAGATTTAACATTTACAAGTTACAAAGTGACTGAAATCTTATATGTATATGTGTAAAACTGTTTCATTTTGCAAAAAATCATGTTTGTGGACATTCAAAAATTCCATAATTTACACAATTTAATAGAAAAACACTTCGGTCCTTGGCTGGCTTTTCCCCAAAAGCTATTAGCATATGTATGCTTCTCATTGATTGCCCCAAAGATGCCAAAACAAAGCTCTCCATTGGTTCAATTATGTCAACGATTCGGTGATCATCTTCCAAATGGGAATCATCATTTAGCTTATGGGGAATGTCTCAATATATTTGCAATTTTCAGTGTTCAAAGGCGAGATGGCATGCCCTCCCATTATTCCCATGCCATATTCCATACCACAGACTACAGTCTTCCAAATCTGACATCGAACATGGAGGAACAACATGGAGAGGATGGGTGGAAAATGTGAGGAAATCGGTCGGAGGTTGTCCGTTTCTATCAGTCTGTTAAGTACTTCAAGCACACAGAGAAAAGTATATAAAAAAGAAGCAAAGCTTTAACTTTGAGGTATGTTTAATATTTACAACTTCTTAGTAGTTATTCTTTTGATTACTGAAACCTTTTACTTTTATAATTATATATATTATATCTTTGTTTCTGGTATTTCTCTCAGTGCCCTCACTCTGCCACATTGCCACAGGTTTTTGGGGGACCCGAAGCGTGTGCACATTTGCAATGCCATCAACGTCGCATCGAGCACATTAAGAAGGCATTCCACCTCGGATCACAAAACCCTCCATCATCGGCCTCATCCACTTCCCAGAGAAGTGAGTGCCACGTTCCTGGGTTCCTTCCTCCCCAACCTCCTCTTCCTCCTCCATAACCGGAATCATTCTCGCCCAGTTGGACACCAGTGATAGTCCCAGAAATATATATACACATAATTATAAAATCGACAGAGAGAATAAAGCAAAACAAAAGGGATGTCAAGCTGTGTTTCAGCAAGTAATTGAAGGGTTTACATTCACATTTACAAAGCAAATAATTGTTGAAATAAAAGTATATATATGGCTTACCACAGGATAAAGCCACAGGTAATGGTGATTTTTTCCTCAATGATTTAATTGTTTGAAATGAATAGTTTGCCTCATTCTGTGCATATATATTCATTCATAAGCTAATCTGTGTGTCTACAGGAACGATTGTAGCTTGGACTGTAAGTAATTTAGCATTCAGAAGGCGCCTTTTCACACCCGAGACGAGAGACAATACGAGAGAGAGAGTGAGAGACAAATTCGTATAACAGCATCATCATCATCATCATCGTCATCATCATCTCTTCATCATCATCCTCATCTCGACATCATGGGGTTAAACAAAGGCAACTCTCCGGCAGAAGCTTCCGCTTGAGTTGCAGTTGCAGTTGCATTTGCAACACGAAGCATTTAACCATTCGCCATTCACCAATTTCTGTCAGATTGCAGAGTTCACTCGAGCGTGTGGAGATGATGATGGAAAGGAGTGAAAGGAGTGAAAGGATACCCAGGCAGCTGAGGATAAGCTGTGTGGCCACCAGTGCTGACTAGTTTTTCCATTTTGATTTATAGAATTTTATACGAAAATTTCAAGGAAACCTTTAAGCAGAAGAATTACAGATAGGCAACATATATATTTCATTGTATTTTCCCATGGATTTTATCCTTTTTATAGAATTTTAAGCTAGGATATTGAGTCAGCACTAGTGAAAGAAGTTTCTAAACTCTCAGTTTTTATTGCTTTTGTTGCAAGTTTGTCGCCTGACAACTTGCAGCGCTTCAGCTGCAACGATCTGTCAACGTCAACGGTGCGTATGATAAATTTTTATTGTGCATCTGGCACAAATCCCACCATTTTCACCACACCATCCCCGCCATTTGACATTTCGCCATTGCCATTTTCCGTTTCCCATTTTCCGCTTTCCATTTTTGCTATTTTTGCCATTTTCCTAATTTGTTGCACTTCCCCGCAACCAATTTAAACTAATTACGCCCCCAAGTCTCTAGGCACTGTCATGCCAACAACCAGTGACCCCACAATCTGTATTATTTACACAAATTATATCACATTATAAGCCAGAGGAGGGAGCACCTGTTCGGAGGATAGTGAGGGAAGGGATTATACGTCCATGTCTTGTGGCCTCTGCCCTCTCAATGCTCTCCCAGGGGGGAAGCTGGCAGCAGCTTATATACAATAAATATCCAAACAAAACGAAATAAGACACCTGGGAGAGGAGATAAAATTTGAGAAAATAAAGCTCAGGAGGAGAGAAGAGGAGACAACAAACTACAAAGTGGGAGGTAAACTAAAGTTGGGAATGAAAGGAGTGCAAAAATAAGGATATTTCTAAGAATCATCTCAGGATTACTTTAATGAACTATCCTTTGTATGCATAAATTTATTTCATTATTTTCAAATCCCGATTTTCATAAAATTTAACACAAAATTCTAGATAAATATATAATGGATATATATTAAATTTAAAGAAAATATGTTGAAAAGTGGAAAGGTTATAATATTATGTCTTACAATTGTGTTACAAAAGTTGCAAGTCATTGTTTATTAGTGTTCAGAGTTAGTAACTACTGATCATACATACATACTGGTCATAGATACTTAATGCTCAGAGATACTTACTGTTCAGAGTTACTTAATGTTACTTACTTAATTGATACTTACTGGTCATAGATACTTACTGTTCATAGTTAATTAATGATCATATTTATTTACTGATCATATTTACTTACTGGTCATAGATACCTACTGATCATAATTACTTACTGATCATATTTACTTTCTGCTCATAGATACTTACTGTTCAGAGTTACTTACTAGTCATAGATACTTACTGTTCAGAGTTAATTAATGATCATATTTATTTACTGATCATAGTTACTTAATGTTCATTGATACTTACTGTTCAGAGTTACTAAGTGCTCATAGTTAATTACTCTTCAGAGTTAATTACTGGTCATAGATACTTACTGTTCAGAGTTAATTACTGATCATTTTTATCTACTGATCAATGTTACCTACTGATCAAAGTTACCTACTGATCATAGTAACTTAATGTTCATAGATACTTAATGTCCAGAGTTAGTTACTGCTCTTAATTAATCACATACTGGTTAGAGTTAAATACTGATCATAGTTACTTAATGTTCATTGATACTTATTGTTCAGAGTTACTAACTGAGATTGAGATAGATGTACAAATCACCCGATTAACCAATGTGACCACGCCTAGCTTAGCTTCCTTATCCTTATCCTTAAATCCTCATCTTAGGTTAACCCAAACTTAAAACGACTCCCAAACCCATACTATTAATGTGATAAGTCAGCAATTAGCTGGGGCTAAAAATTTAAATAGGCCGGTAATTAAGCGACGTTGTCACCTTGACACCTCCGGAAACCCAAGACACAGACTTGGCCAGGACTCTTTGGGTCCATGGGAGCCGAGGGTAAAACATGCGGCAAAAAGGTATAAAAAACCAACCAGGGAAAAGAGGAAAATAAAATGCTTAAAACGTGGAAAATGGCAAACGGTTCAAGAGAAAAATAGGGGAAAAAAATAAAACACCGTGGGAAATCAATAAAATTAATATAAAAGGCTGAAATTCCTAAAGGAATCAAAATAGCATGAAAATTTCACAGCCATCAATAAAGTTGTTCGTTGTCATGACAAATATTTTAATTACCAATTGATAAAACGAAAGAAAAAAAACAAGGAATATAAATAATTGCAATTGATTGAAACGTTGGACAATGATTAATGAGCGAACATAATCACTAATTAAAATCAGGGATATCAAATTTTAAGCAAATCAATCATATTTATTTAAGAGTTAAGACAATTTTAATTAAACTTTTAATTAATCTGTGTGATGTTGCATCAGGAAGAAAATATTAATAAGAATTTTACTTATTTTCCAAGGTTATTTTATATATATTTCTTTTCTCTCTCTCTCTTTTATAACATTTTATCACTATTCAAATAGCAGTATTAATTTTCCAAATAAAAGATAAAGCCAGTAATTAGACTCTCTGTATGCTTTTCTGATTGCATTCCCCCCATTCTGGGCTCAATATCCGACTCAGTGCTTTTCTAGATTAGGCAGCCGCAACTCCCCAAGGTGGCGATGGCATCGTGGCTGTCTTCTCACTTCGTCCGGAATCCCTGGCTGGAGGTGAAATTCCCACAGGCCTCACCCACCATCCTCAATCCGGCTAAATACTGGCGAATCCTTGGCAATCCTTTGCCACCGGATAACCGAAACTGTCTAGATGCCCGGATAGTTTCCCGTCGCTTTCAACTTGATGGGGGACTCTTGGTAAACATTTTCGTGCTAAGCTAAGCTGCCATTGAATATTTAATTAGGGAAAATTATGGCAAGTCTAGAAAGGATTGCTTTCGGCCACCTGAGTTGCCCGGGGCAGCTGACCGAAAAGGAAAACAAAAACAAAGGCCAAGTTATCAGGGTTGCCAGGACTCCAGGACTCGTGTTGGATCAATATAGCTTCATTTTGAAGCCGGTTAAGGACTAGTTAGTAGGATAAAATGGTAAGATTTACCTCCGAGGCAGATGCTAATAATCATAATGATTGACAATAATGCAAATTTCATGGACAGCCACCCAAGAAGAAGCTCTCGAAGAAGGAGAAGGCTCGCCTTGAGGCGGAGCAGGCCGAACTCATGCGGATCGAAATGGAAAAGGAAAAGTGAATAATACACAAAAATTCTTGAGAGTTAATATGGAAAACCTAGTCCCCTTCCACAGACTCAAGAAGCTGGAGGAGGCTCGGCAGCGCAAGAAGCTAGAGATGGAACAGGCCAAACATCGTCAGCAACAGGAAGTGGCCGAGAACCGGAAACGGCGCTCTCAGCTCAAGGACAGCATGCTCTTCTTCGATGCCGTTCGCACGGCCATTGAAGCCATCAAAGATGGCGAACGTCATGAGCGTGATTGGGAGAAATTCATGCGTTGCAATGGCCTACCAAATGCCGCAAGTCCGAGTGATTTGCGAAAGTATATCCATCAGTGGCACACGGATATAGCCAAGCGTCATTTAGAGTCCCGAAACTGGTTACTCCGCACCGATGAACGCACTCTGCTCACCCAGGATGCCCAGGTTCCAGATCTTACGAGGATCTCACTGCGCCAGCAGCAAGGACGTCTTGGTGATGTCTACTCGCAGAGGATCAAGGAAGTGCTAGGGGTGCGTAGAGAGATTAGAGATTTCTCTAAGGTATAATATGATTTTGCGTTTCAGATTCTCAATGAATTGGATGAGATGTTGCCCTTCAAGCAACGTTCCATTCATGTGGCTGCTGATCTCAGGAAACTCAAAACGGAAATGAGGGTTTTCCTGAGACAACATTTAGATGAGTTTACCTACAAAACCATGTCGCACATCGAAAGGGATATGGAGTAAGTGAGGAGAGTACTTGAAAGTCTTTGAAATTTAAATATTTCCCTACAGAATCGATAGGCCTGGGGTTTCCAAGCACATTTACAGTTCGGATGTGTTTCAAAGCTTTGTGTGGACCTTCTCCAAGGATGCTCAAATGCAAGTATTACTTATTAATCAATTAATTAATTATTGATTACAAAATATTCTTAGTGCTGTTAATCCCAAGGCCCGCATAGGCGAGCAATCGGCTCACAATGAGATTGATTTTCCCACCATTGAAATGCAAATATCCTTGCCACCCACAGTTCACCTACAGAGTTCGGCCTTGAGGGGTCTCTGGTTGAATTATGATCACTTTAGTGATTACTGTAGTAGCTACTGCCTAAAGCATGCTCGCTCTGCCAATGCCAGTGAGTTAGATTCTATATATTCTTTATATTTACTTTAATATTGATTACCTTCCCCACAGATATCCTTCGTCAAACAAAACGTGAGTGGCGCAAACGAAAAGAGATCCTGCAAGCCATGCTGGACGAGTGTGGTAGGGATATACCGCTCTCGGAGTTGGAGCAACTTACCCAGGATCAGCACTCGGCCAGCTCCCAGCCGCCACGTGAACGCACCTATGATGTGGATAAACTCTATGCCGAGTACGAGGATGAGTTAAGTAAAGCCCATCGCAGGGCCATTGGACCGGAGGCTTATGGTATGCTGGAGACGGATGTCAATCTGAGAAAGTATCGCATCATTGGAGGTGTCTATTGCATTGATTTCCTGGAGACACCTCAACAGGATAAGCAGCTAAATGCAAGATCCTTTATACGAACCAGTTGAGTATTATAGAGCCCCTTAAAGAAGTCCTTGATTTAGATTGTGTACCTTTAGTAACCTCGGCCAATAGTTTGGTGCACAAGGAATACTATCAAACCTACAAGCCACCGCCTCCAGTGTTGCCAGGAGTGCGACGTCTTCCCGAGGAGATTGAAGCTGAAATGCGAATGATTGAAGCGGCTCTGGACAAGCTAGCTTTGGTCACTTTACAGTAAGTTATTTTTGAACTAATATTTAGAATATATTTAAGTAATATTTCTAAAGACTACCAGATTCTGTAATTTGGTTTGAGCCACCAGTGGCCTGTCGCTGGGAAACCCATGTGGAGACCCTGGAAATGGAGCTAGCCGATGGAGTGAAACCAGAACTAAAGCATCCAACTAACGAAGGGGATGCAGAGGGAGATGCCACGGGCGCTGTGAGTGGCACAGCAGCGGGTACAACAGCCACGCCCACAGAGGCCACACCTCTCTCCACCCATGCCCAGCCCAGTCCCCTGAAGAGTTCACCCCGCTGTCCGGCCAGGAGAATGCGATCCCAGAAGTCGGACGGCATGCCGGGAGATGCCTCGCGGCAACAGGTGCTCCGTGAAATTAATGATTTTGATTTGCGTGCCATACCCAGCGATGTGGATTTATATGGTTTGGTCAAGGATTTTGTGGTGCCGCGTCTGCCTCAGGGATTCTGTGTCCGTCTAGAGCAGACCACACCGGTTTCCGAAAGCACGGGATTGCGACAGCGAAAGGTAATGTTTTTAGCCCGGCAAACGCACATTCGACTGGGTCAGGGACCGGATAGCCCCAAGGAGGATCAACTGTTGCTGGTGACGCCAAGCGAACTGAATTTGAGTTCCAAAACGGGACTGGGAGCTGAGTTCCTGGACACCGAGGAACCGGCAGAGATGTTTCCACCTCTATGCTTTGACAAGCTCCTCAAGTTCCGGCAAATGGCGCCACGAACTGCGCCACCAGCTCATCACCAGGGATACCTTTTCTCACAGCTCATCGAGGATATGGATAGATTGTGGCTTCTACAGTTGCCTAGGGATCAGCAGGAGGAGCTTATCCAGCAGATATCAGAGCAGCTCTCACCCACTGGCTCACGATCAAGTGAGGCGGCAGGTGAGTAGGTTTAATAACTCCTTAGAAACTTCATAATAAACAACAACTTCAGGTGGTGAAAAAGATCCAGCCGGACTTGGTGATGGCAATCTTTCCGAGGACATACAGCCACTCAGCCAGGAGCTAGTGGATGTCCTTCAGCCAGCCACGGCAGCTGCTGCCTTTGCTTATTACACGGGAATCTCTTTTGTGAAGGACTCTCAGCTTCCACAGGAAACGGATGCAGACCAGGCCACAAACAAGCGCTCCAATAGCATGGATAGCAGCGAGGATGATGACGACGATGTGGACAGCCTCGTGGAGCTGCTTGAAGGAGGTGGAGGAGGTGCCTCCACAACGGCCAATACCCTGCACGATTTACTTGGTCCCTCGAGTCACAGCGACACCACTGACAGCGAAAGGTAAGATATACATAAGGTCCTTAATTGGCAGATTGATTGATCGGGGTTTTCAATTCCCTCGATTGAGGGGGAGATAGTATGTATTTTACCTTAGCAGAGTGTAATTGAAATACATAATATTGAACAACACCTGGGGAAAACGGACTAGCTAGAAACTGGTTTATGTGATTTAAAGAGAGTTAGGGGAGAAAGAGATTTTCAAGTTCTTTGAAACTTATTTAAACATTTAATTTTTATACTTTCAAATATTTTAATCAAATTATTTTCTTATTTTCACATTTGGCTCATTACGAGAAACGAGTGACGAGTGAAATAAATAAATAAAAGAAAGAAAAAAACAAAGTTAACTGGAATCGAAGAGTTTTATATATTCTCTGGTCTACTAAATCAATTACTTTAAAATTTATTTTCTAATTACATTATCTTGAACTTGAAAATAAGTTTACATTTTTATGCCCTTACAGGGTATTATAATATTACTCAAAAGTTTAAAACATAATGGAGGAGTGATTTCCGACCCCATAAATCATATTATTCTTGATCAGCATGAACAAGCAAATCCTTATAGACATATCGGAAAGTAACAAAATTAAAAAAAAAAAAAATGTTCAAAAAATAAGGGGTTACATCGTCAAAAATCGAAAAAAATATTGATTTTTTAAATAATTACATTGAGTATGCAGATTTGTTAAGCGTCAAACAACTAACACAGGAACGATTTCTGAATTGAAATTAAGGCATTTTTAACAAAGTTATGCGATTTTTAAACTTTGATTGTCCCAAAAAATAGAATATGTAAAAAAAGTTATAAAATACAAAACCTTCAACAAAGTAACACCGGGAAATATTTAATTTAGTATGCAGATTTATTTACCATCAAAGAACTAAGAAAGAAACACTTTCCGAATTAAATTTAATTCATTTTTGACATAGTTATGCAATTTTAAAACTTTGATTGTCCAAAAAAAATATATACAAAATTATCAACTAAAAAATTTCAATTTCAAGAATCTTGCAGAGGAAAATATAATTTTTAACAGTGAAGGAGTCATTTCCGACCCCATAAATCATATATATTCTTGATCATCATCAACAGGCGAATCTTTCTAGGTATTTAGGAAAGAAAAATAAATTTTTAAAAAATTTTCAAATTTTTTTAAGGGGTTACATCGTTAAAAATATCAAAATTTGGACAAAAATTGGAAACTTAAAAGTTTTAAAAACTCAATATGCAGAATTGTTAACCTTTTAAAAACTAACACAGAACTGCTTTTCGATTTGAAATTAATGCATTTTTGGCTTAGTTATGATATTTAAAAAACTTGAATTTACCCTAAAAATTGGCATATAAAAATATAATTTTAATAAAACTAGTATACCCATATTTTAGATATTCTGGAGGTATACGAAGGCCACAGAATAGCTTTTCAAATTTAGATTAATGCATTTATGGCTAAGTGCATTTTTGGCTTAGTTATGATATTTAAAAAACTTGGATTTATCTTAAAAATTGGCATATAAAAATATATAATAATAATATAATAATATAATAATATAATATATAATAATCTTGGAGATATACGAGGTCTACAGAATTCCTTTTAAAATTAAGATTAATGCATTTTTGGCTTAGTTATGATCTATTGCACATTCGAACCCTTGATCCTATGCTTAACTTTAAGGGTACACACACCTCGGCTTTCCGAAGTCAACTTCCTTTCTCATTAATTATTATTTACTCCTAAAACTGAAATAATTTTTTAATCCAGCCGTAAGAAACTTAGCAACACGGCAGCCATAACCCAGGGCAAGTGGAGTACCCGCGATGTTCATGATACCAAGTTTAACGAGGACAAGCTCTCCATACAATTTCGAACCGGAAGATTGGGTAAGAACTCAAAATTCAATCAAAACCTTAAAAACCCTAAACCCTTTTCAAATCTCAGGAATTTTTGGCTTTGCCTTGAACAAATACAGCAATATGCCATACCAGACTTGGGACCTAAGACCAGATATGAAGAAGTACGTATATATAAAAATATAATGTTCCAAATGAGTAATAAAATATCTCATTTTTAGTCCTGGAACCATCTTGTTTAGCTTCACAGCCTCACTGATAAGCTTGGACATGACCATAACGGAATCGGGTTATACAGTTAATAATTTTCAAGGTGGCAGCACCCAAATCATTACCGATATGATTGGTAAAACGCTATCACTGGCAGAGCTCAAGGCCACTCTTATCCTGTCCGCTGTTGATATCTTTCCGGATGAGGATGCCTTTTGCTATACGGAGGGTTCCTGTGAGAAGAACTATGTCATGGAGATGCATTGCTATGCCTGCCTTTCGACCCTGGCTCAATCGCATAACTTTAGTTGGTCGAGATGGAACCTTTTGGCAGGCTCTCGCACGGCTGTCCTTTTAATCCGTGAACTAATCGAGGGTAAAAAGGTTCCGTATTACTCTACACTATTGGTTACACCACTCAAGACATCGATTATCGATTGCACTGAGGTATCGGCAAGTTTCAATGCGGTGGGTATTCCAGGAATGGAATATTATGCCGATCTCTATCAGTTATCGCAGGCTCATGCACAACCAGTGAGTCTGGAGAAGCAGAGGACCATGAATCCGGTGTTGAGGGATAATGTGGCCAGGATATTGATGGGCATAAGACCCCTGAGTTTGTGTTGATTAATTATCGATAGTTTAAATTTGAAAATCGTAAAAGTATCGATTGGGAAATAACGATTTTACAATTCATAATAAAAACTCTCTGCAAAACACTTCGATGACAACAAACTTGTATCGATTATATATTTAAAATAAATATCGATTCGTATAAAGTGTTGATAAACTAATAACATATGTATGTTACTTCGATCAATGTTCATCGATTATTTATTGAAATTAAAAGAGAGTCGATAAATTTATCGATTTAGAAATATATAAATATAAACCATAACATATATAGAAAAGTTATTGGGTGTACCAATAAAACATCATCAACATTAATAAACTAAATGAATTTATATAAAGTATAAGGTATTACTTTTATTTTAAAGCCAAAAGTCTCTGAATATTTAATATAAAATACTTTTTATTCTCTACCAAACGCTCACACTTAAAGGGTTGTCATGGCAGATTAGATTTAATATAGTATATATATAGAATTATGTTCTTTATACTCAAACATATTCTTGGCACAAAACACACACAATGCATGGCCATAGCATATATATCGATAATTCAGCTTTTTATCCACTTAGGAATAGCGCTTTACCCACAAAGGCATCATCAATCTCTAACGAAATTGTCTCCCTCTCCAATTATAATACATTTCCATTGTCAGCAGTTTGGATCTCTTCCCCTTATGGACCCTTGGTTCCATTAGCAGCCACCCGATCCACGCCCCCTCCAATGTTACACTGAGGAAAATTATCTAGCTTTTAGATAATAAATTAATTTTTATAGTTACAAAATAATTTACTTGAATTACTGAAATCTGAGAGATTGTGTATTTTAGCTAGTTTTTACTTTTATTTTCTGTTTATTTTAACCAGATTTTCTTCACTCCTTTTTTTTGTACTGTGCACACACACACAACACTCATACAATGGCGGCACAATTAACATATTCACAGCGAGCTTATCCCTTAATGCTCGCTTGGGCCTCTTGCCATTTTTTCACTTTGCCTGTCATTCCATTTTTGGCCCAAGGCGGAAAAAGAAAGAAACGGTTAAGGAGCAGGAGCAGGAGTGGGAAACATAAGCAGGAGCGACCACGCTGCGTATACGCAACTTGCGTGCTGGGCAAGGACGCAGCGGAAGCTGCTGCTGCTGCGGGTTAACATCCCACCGCCCACCGCCCACCGCCCCTTCTCCCCACCCCCATTGTGGCCGCCAGCGAAGGTCGACATACACCAAGCGCCAAGCTGTCTGACAACTGCGTCAACTGAACACTGCCTGTGAATGGGGCCCCCCAAACCAACGCCTTCTCACACACCCCCTCCTCTTCCCAGCATTTTCATTTGTCTTGTTAATGAGGGCACACGCCGCCCCCTCCGCCCCCACTTTACCATATGCATAAATAAATAATTAAAAAGTATTTGTCTTTACCAAAAATTGAATTGAATGCGAGAGTTGTGTGAATTTAGAGTGAGCGAAAAAAAGAATTAAGAAATCAGGGGAACATATAATCAAGTTAAATCACAAACATGACAAACAGAATGCTTTTAATTTGTTATATTTTATATGAAAAAGCTTTTTAAAATGTTCTCAGCAAGGGAAATGCTTTAAATTGTATTACCAAATGTTAATCCTTAAAGACTTTTAAGATATATTACTAAAAAATAACATTTCTGCAACGTAAACTAATAATTGAATATTTTTAAAGTGTTTTTTTCATAAAAAAAAATTAATTTTAGGCCAAGAAATTAATCTATATTAGATAATGCTAAGGCACAGAATACAAATAGAAGTCTATAAATAAAATAATTTGTTTAAAACAATTTTAATCATCTTTAATCAAAGGAAATTCCATAAATTCTATTATCAAAAGATGAAAATAATATGTCTTCAGTAAAAAAAAATGTATATTTGAACATTTTTGAAATCTTTTTTATTTAACAAAACACAATATTATTCATCTATTTTAGATACTCCCACATCACAGACTTTTTCAATGTACCCTTTTCCCATGCTCTCTTCTATGTCAGTTTTGTGCTGCATTTTGTGGTTTGTTTTTTTGGGGTTTAGGTTTTTGGTAGTGCAACACAGGTTTAAAAAACCGCAACCCTTTTGCCACCTGCCTCAACCCCTAATCCGTTGGGCTAATCGCATATGAATTAGTAACACTGGATACAGGTCCTTTTGTTGTTGCTATTGCTGTTGTTGTTGTGTGTGTGTTGTCGGTGGAAGGCAAGTGCGAACTTTGTTTCCGCTTCCGGTTCTGACACCTGTTCCCCACACAAACCGCAAAAACACACTACTAATACACACACACACCTTGGTTAGAGGATACAACATGACATTTATTTTATTGGCCACACTAATTTTCGCCTGTAAACATTTATTTTACATGTCTAAACAATTTGGCCAACTAAATTGGGCCTTTGCATAAATTAAAAACAATCAACAAACATTTCTTTTTTTGTCAAATTATCTGTGAAATCTCATTCCGGCAGAATCTCTGATTTCGCTTTCGTGTGTGTTACCATATTACATGTGTTAAATGACAAACATAACTATGCAAATGTCGCCGAGTGAGAAATGTTTGTGGGCCTTAATCAAGGCGGCACTAAAATTCCATCCTACCTGTGCATCCAACAATAAATCTGTTCTGTTCTCTTCTCTTCTGTTTTATATATATATATATGTATTTCCTTTTATTTTTATATTTTCCATCTTCTTCATGTGTGTGCGTGTGAGTGAGTTTGCAGACTTTAATGCGTTGCCTTTGTGCTGTGCGTGTGCGCGTGTGTGTGTGGGTGAAAGCCAGCCGTTAAATCCGCAGGCGACGCACAAAAGTATGCTACGTAATTTAAGTTAATAGCCGACGCACACACACATGCTCGCGGCTCTCGCATTCAGTTCTCCGCGTCTGTTCAAATTACAATTCATTATGTACAGGTGGCAAGCGAGTGAGTGTGTGTACACAGGGGAGTATGTGCACTGAGCAAAATAATGGTAGGAAAAGGAAGAATCTCTCCTTCACCATAGAATACCCGATAGCCAAAGTCTTTTCAGTGTTAAATTTTAATTAATTAACACATGAACATGCCTAAGATACATTTGTGTGGCAAAAGTCACAAGATTAAGTTGCTTTAAGATGCAAGATACTAGATACTGTAAATTCTTGGTAGATTTCAATGAGCTTAAGCTCGATTTTAGCCATTAACCGCAAGAAACTACAATATTTTAATTAACAAAATTCAAATATTCCTACTCAAACCCTTAAATTCCTCTCGGTGTGGCAATGTAAAGGGGCACAAGCGAGATGGAGCATAGTCAAGGAGCGCGGTTATGACGCAAGCAAGCAAGGATTTAATCCTGAGCAGAGACGCGGCAGAGACTTCCGCATGCGGCACTTCAACTGCATGCCACTGCTCGCCTTGATTACAGTTGCAGGACACTTCAACACTGGCTGCCAGGGTACAAATGGGTCGCATCGTTCTACGGGAATAACAGTATAAAACTCCCACTACTCGAAAAATAGTTACAGGAAGAGAACACTTGCATCCTCTCTTTATGTATAATCAAATGTTTAAGAATATAAAAAAGTATGCTTTCGCAATTTTACAACACTTGATAAAAGTGTTGCACTTGCAAGTAAGGTTTCAAATTAGCTCCATCATTTCATGATACAAGATCTACAAAGTAAAAAACTTATAGAATGGAATTTCTTACAAAAGTAAAACTAAAACTAAGTGAAGTAGAGTATCAAATTGGTCGTTGGGTTTTGTAAATTGCTTTATTTTTATTTCTCATTGTGCTTTAGCAATTTGCGTCAAATTTCGAGTTTAAGTGTCAATTACAAGAACAACAAAAGCAGAGCAAGACGTTGAAAAAAAAAAAGGAGATTTTGTAAGAAGACAGATGACAGAGAGCGAGACGGAGATAGCGTTTTACACATCTCCCGGCTACCTTTCATCGGTGGGTGAAGAGAGATGGGACAACAAAGTCACCTATATGTACAGACACACACACAGACACATACACATACGCTTGTCAAGTTGACAGTTTTTTGCTTTACCTGTTTCCTTTTTTCTGCCTCCTTGTGCGTTCGTTTTTTTTTCCTCTCTTTGGCTTTTGCTTCGGTTTTAACCTCAATTTACAAAGTCTGATGCTGGGCAGGTGCCTTGAAATTTGACTGTGAGTGCGAGGCGCAACGTATGAGTGTGTGTGTGGTGTGTGTTTAAAATTTGACTTGCCTTCATGCCACCTCTAAGCCCCCAGCCCCCCTCCTTCTGGCCTTTTCTGCCCTTTTCTTCACTTGACAGCGACGACTTTTGACTTTCTGCGCTGGCATTTTGACACAGTTGATTACAGCGCCACCTAGCGGCCGCCGACGCCGCCACACGCAGCTCTAGAGCTCTCTCAAGTGCGACAGAGATAGCTGAGGCGAACGGGGAATAAGCAGAGAGAAGAACGGAGAAAGGGGAGGAACAGAGGAGCAGAGGAATAGAGGAAGGAGGCAAAAGCAGAGGCAATATTTATGCAAATGCCCCAGAGACATGCTCCCGTCCCGCTCACACAAAAGTTTGTCATTCATTTTGGCTCATGCACATGCAACCACATGTCCTCGCATGCACAAGCACGCACACACATGCACACAGACACCACTCGATCGGAGAGAGATAGCATATGCGGCGTCCTAAGAGCATTATTCCGCATGAACTACCAAATTGCATTCCAAAATTTATGTATTTCATTTGAATTCAGTTCGGTTTTATGCTTTAATCAGTGAACGAAAGGAGAGATTGTGGGAGTGCGTTTCACGTTGTACCACTTACTGTTGAGCAAGGTGATTTTTTTCCTTGACAGAGATTTTTAGAAAATGTGTATGGAATTTTTTAAATGCAACCTATTTCAGAAATCGTATGAGAAAGAAAATGAAATCTAGAATCTAGAAGTTCAAAGAAGACTACAAGAATTAGAAAATAAGAATACAAAATACAAACTTATTATAAGGGG